ACTGTCGTGCTTTTTTACTACCATGCTTAATTCTTCACCGCTTTTATTTCTTTCTTGGTTGAACCCCTTATTTCTTTTCCTGATTATTTTTTCCTAGGAGGAAGACTCTCTTTGCCCAAGGTGTGATTCAGTCTGAATATTTTTATAATGTATTTTCTGCATGGTGTCATTTTTATAATCATCATGAAGATAATTTTGACATGTAGTGAGTAAGAAAGCAGTCCATTCTGAGCAGGACTCATGCTTTTGAAGTGTAACCTTTAAGGATTTTCAATAGGACTTCCCACTATACCGTATACATGTGTAAATACACTGGATGGTTTAGAAGTACTCCTCTTTTCTGAGTGCAATATGTGGCAGAGCCAGAACATGCCTTTAATTATCCTGCAAGAGAGTGAAACTTGATCTCATCCATTGTCACTGTCCAAAGATGATTATTTGGAGCATACTCCTTCCGTCATCCCAGAGGTGTCATGTCTGTTGTGTCTGTTCTGTCCCACAGGCAATCGTGCTTGCATCTTCAGGTCATTAAGAACAGAGATAGTTTCATAATTGTGTGGGTAACTGTTTCATTTCATTCTACTTTTAACTGCAATTTAGCTGGTCTATTATAAAATAACCCAGAAGCACAAGGCATGTTAGGGCTTCTGTGTTTAATTTATTATGTACTAATGAAACAGCTTTTCAGAAGCACCCAGAGTCTTCTCCATTAATTCTCATGTCTTAGATCAAGTGTCTTCTGGTCACCGCCCTCCCTCTAAAAGTGTTGGTAGAAAATGAGATTAACTTTTGTGTCTGTCTTACTGTTTAGGTGCTTAAGGTTGAGCGAGAGGAATACCATCAAAATGTTTGACAAAAAGTGAAGTTGGGCTAAGCATGTCTGAAAAGCTGGCAGATGCAATTTTTACAGACCGTGATACAGGGCAGAGCTTTTTGACCTTCTCCTAGAGAGTTCTGTTCAAAGCCCTTTTTAGAATAAGCATTAAATGTGTAATTCAAAGCATGCTGAGGAAAGTATGCATTGAGTGTTTTATTCTAGGTCTAACATGCAAGTCTTTCTTTTATATCATATGAAATACATATGGCAATCCAGATTGGAAACAGCTAGGAGGCATATTTGGAATGCTGAACGGTAGGGATGTTTTCACAGCAGCAACTATTGTAGTGAGGTTTTTTAGTTTACTACTATTAGCTGTATTTCAGTCTTTTTGTATCAATAGCCTATTGCAGAGTCTTGGTTTTAATGGAAATTAAAATAATGAACAAACCTAGAAGTTTTAGCAGAAGGTCTGCAAAAATTTTGCCACTTGCAACAAAAAGATTTCCACCTGGCCTCCTTAGTCACCACCCACACAGTTTGAGCTGCAGTACCTGAATGATGTAAGTACATCTCTTTGTTCTAAACCACTGTTTTGGTCATGGTCAGTAACAGTGCTTTACAATGTCAAATACTGATATCAGCTGGGTTTTGGTTTGGCCTGTCCTGTTTCTCGCCGTTTTCACGCTGCTGGTTGTGCCAGGATGATAACCTTCCCTGGAATGCTGAGAGTATCCCACGTTTGTGATGGTCATCATCAGCTTAAGTAATATAAAATATAGGGGTAATAATATGCAGTGACACTGTTACATTTTTCAACACAATCTAGGTTTTGTCTCTGCTAAGTTCATGTGACATACAGTTGTATCAAAGTCTTTTATTGTGGTAGTAAGACGTTGCCTGGCAGGCAGGCCTTCTATACATAAAAAACTAAAGTTGCTTCTTGCAAATGAACCTGAACTTCTTGTTATAACATACTCATTTTAGAGGACACAGGGTTTTGTTGTCTTCCCCCTGAACTAATCATCTGTCTCTGTACTCTAATGAATTTTTTGTTCTCCTATCCATTCCTTTCTTGCTTGTGTTTCTGGTGCTTCATGGGTTTGTTGGTTTCTTGGGGTTGGGGGGTTTTTTTTAGGTCTCTGCTTTTTGTGATTTTGGCAGCTTTGCTTTAAAGTGGAACTTGATCAGGCATTGATATTTTGATCTCTAAAGCAATACAAACTGAAGTCTTGATGTATTTCTACACCTGTTGGTGTATGTGGTTTTTAAGGTTTCAGCTTACTCAGTTGTAGAGTGAAGATGTAAGTTTGCAGGTACTGTAGTTTCACATCTTCTGTGTGGAACAGTCTGTTTTACCAGTAGGGATTCTTTTCTAGAGATACATTTGAGTAACTGAGACTTAACTTCATTTCTTCTCTTTCAAAAAGTAAACCCCTGACTATTCTAGTAAGTGTGCTCCTTTTGTATGCTTCTGCATGTAAGTCTCTGCCTCTTACTACTCATCCCGGCTATACAATACCACATTTTAGCCTAAACTCAGGCTACTGGTTGCCTTAATACCATCTGTGTGGTATTTTTCATTTCTGAACCTGTGAATAAAGGTAAAACTGAATGTCCTAGTGGACTGTCTTCAGGGTATACTAATTTTTCAGGTTTCTGTGGAATGTCAGAATGTGGTTAAATGTGGTTTGTTTCCTAGGTTCCTTCACCAGCAGTCTCTGATAAGACAACAGGTTGTTCCCTCTGCTTTTGGCGTTTTTTTCCATGAGCAGAAAAGGTGCTTTTGCCCTCTGCTTCAGTAATAGCTCCAAAGCCACGTGCTGATAGCCATGTCAGGAGGCTGACCATACAGAATATTCTCCCATGTTTTGCTTTCAGTTTGCTAATATTCCCCCCCCCCTTTTTTTTTTACTTTCTTCTCTTGATTCTTCTGACTTTCCACAAACTAGTATTGTGCTAAATATTTAGGAACTGGCTGGGCGTGGAGTGGGCTTTCAAAATAGATCTTAATTGTCTATAACCTGAAAGAGGTTTTTTCTCCTTTCTCAGAAACAATTATTTTTCCTGCTTGCCGATGCCTTTCAGATTGGCAGGCAGTGAATTTTCTAGCATGTCTCTTACTGGTTGCATAAATGGCCCTTTTTGCAGTGGGTCTAGCGGACTCCCTCAACGTGAGAACTGCAGTTGGTTTTATTTGCCTGTGCCAGGGCTAACACAGATTCAGTTGGCCAATGTTGGCAGCAGTTGGGGGAGTTGGATGGTACAGCTTAAGGGTAGCATAAAAATAAAATTGACTTTACCATTAAATTAAAGGAATGATATACAGACTGTATGAAACACACTTTGCAGTTTAAGCAAGCATCTCAATTTTTGAAAATGTATCTAAAGCTGCTCTGGAGTGCCTGGTCTACCACAGTGGAGTGCTGCAGAATCCAGGGGCCTTGCCACAGGATTTAGGTCACCCTTGCTGCGGAGCACACAGGACCTGGGGTATTGTCCCTCTTCCTAAAATTCCCGAGTCACATGGCTGCTTCTGACATCTGTGTTTTAGCTCTCGCTGTTCACTTCGATTTCATATGTTGGTGCTTTAAGTACTCAGTGTTGTTTGTTTCATGCTGTGTGAATGTAAATGTTCAGAGATTTCAAACACAGGCTGGTGCTTCACAATATTCATGTCCTGCTTGCTAGGCTCATGCCAACAGCTTTTGACATCTGGTTGGTACGTTTTGAACTCTCTCATACTGCCCGGCACCTGTATTGCAGTGACCTGACAATAAGCAGATGTTTCCTACCTTTTTCTGGAACTCTTCGACAAGCGGTTTGTGCAGTGCACCCCATGTCCTTGCACTAGTGCTCTAGTGCACCGTCAGGTGGGTGTATACAAGACAAGTGAATGTGTGCTGCATCTTGTCTAAACTGGGAAATCCTGAACCTGTTTGGCTGGCAGGATACGCTCACTGACTTATCCCCAAAAGCTGGGGGGAACTGCCAATTCCTTCTGCATTTGATAGGCATGAAATGTTTGTTCAGGGAAGTATTTCTAAAGTCTGTTTGGTTATTATGGAGGTTTTTCCTGACAATTGATGAAAGATGCTTGTGGGTACTTTCCAGTGACCGTAAGGAGTTAGCTTTACCATTTCCTGGGTTGAATTGGGACTTGTAGGTAATTATTTATGCAAATAGCATCCAAACAGAGCTTCTGCACAAATGGAAACTTGTTGCATAATGAAAGTGCTTACCAGAACCGGTAGAGAAGTTGCTGAAAGTAAAAGCTCTGCATTTGCCTGGTTAGAGGTGTGTTTATCTTGCACTAAAACTCTTGGAGAGCCCAGAAGAGCCGGAGACCAGGCAGCCATTTTCAGAGGAGCATGTTTTGTTGCTGCTGCTGCTGAGAAATCAGTAGCTCACCTTTGGATGATTGAAAGGATAATTTTATATCTATGTACGTTTCAAGTAAGATTTTAAAAGCCACTCAGCCTTTACAGGCTTTCATAGTCCCTTACTCATGTAATACTAGGATTATCTACATTATATCTTAGTTTTTTTGTTCAGGTGATCATTGTATGATACATTTTGCTCATATGAACAGTAAAAATAGATCTGCAGGTATAATTGTGGGCAGTGCAAGCCATGGAATTAAAGACTTATAAGGAAGTAGAGAAGAAGCAGGATATTTTTTAGCATTCTGTTTAAAATTGCTATGTTTTAGCAATAGAAAGTAGTGAGCTACAGTTTTCAGCAGTTACAGAAGAAAATGAAATGTAAACAGAACTGAGGCTAGTCTCTCTAAATACGGCTGCAGGATAAACACCTCTGCAGAAAGGCAAATTTAGAGAGGATTTCTTTGTCCAAGTATGAAACCCAAGTACTGTTTGTGCTACAGTCCTTTTGTTGGCAGTTTTGTGTTTGTGAATACATTCCTCAGAGTTATTTTATTTTACGACTCTTGCACCACTTTCATTTTTAATTTTGCTCTGTTAACTGGTGCATTGTGCAATAATTAGTCCCATGCTTTGATTCTCAGCTGTTATTTTTAATGAGTCTTGAGAAGAGTAACCTGCGGGAGAATTGCATGCTCTTTGTTACCATCCCCATGGAACTGTACATGCATCTAATCTTGATGAGTTCATAGTAGCACTCAATTTTTGAGTAATATGGCTATCTTCTTCTTCATAGGACTGAGTTTGCCCTAAAAGAAATCATGTCATCAGGAGGAGCTGAAGATGATATTCCTCAAGCAGAGAGGAAAACAGTGACAGACTTTTGCTACTTATTGGATAAATCTAAACAGCTATTCAATGGCTTAAGGTTAGTGCATTTTTGACAGTATTCCTTCAGAAAAGTATTGGAATGTACACTTTAGTATGTGAGTGATGCTCAAGTCAGTTGTGCAGTGAACATTTCGAACTCAAACCCAGTAAGTTTGTCTAGGAGGGAACAATGTGCACGTGTGTATGGGTAGTTTTGGACCATGTATGTAAGAGTGTCTGTAGGAGTAGAGAGGTTCATGCGTTTCTTCTGAGACAGTAGGGAGGGAAAGGTGAGCTGAATGTCTTGGTCATGTCAGTTAACAGTAAACTAGAAGTTGGAAATTCCATTACATTGATAGAATTTGTACTGAAATGTTGTGTATGAAGTACACAATTAAGGACTAGGTGTGGCTGTATACAATCAACAGCATGCAAGTCCAAAACCCCACAGTCTCTGTACCAAAAAAAACCCCAAAGGGATGAGAAGGATTGTCGTAGGTGGGAAGAAAGGCAGGGAGGGAATATTTTGGGGGAAGAAACTTAGGATGTGATAAACAGAAACATCCAAACCATAGCCTGTATGTGTCTAGTGAAACAAATGCTTAATCTGAACTGTTGAGAAAGGTAAAATCTGCATTTATCTATAAAACATCTGCAATAACATCTAGAAAGTTTAGCTGTTTTGTCAGCACCAATAAGAAGGGGAATAAGAGTAAGGAGATTTCAAGGAAAATAGTTTGTGTTTGGACAGTGATATAGGCATCCTGTTTATGTCAATATATGCTGAGTTAAAGATTATGTATTCAAGAGCTGTTTTATTTCTAAGCTTTGCTGTAGTTGCTGTCTCTTAAGCAACATGGTTTTTAGCTCATATCTTGTTGGCAGTTCAGCATCTTACTGGTCTCTGAGTAATACTGTATGTTTGGGCCCATATAGCTTGCTGTTATTCAAACACAGATGGTTAGCAAAGATGTTTTTAATTCCTCCCCCCACCCCCCCGCTATTGATAATCCTTTCATGTGCTTTAGAAGTTGATTACCAAATCCAAAACAAACAGTTTGTGCTCCAAAATCTGAATGGTAAGTGGGCAGTAGAGACAGGAGTTCTTGGTGATTGCATTTGGCACCCCATGAAACAGGGGCTAAAGCAAAAGGACTGAGATCTTGAGGCCAGGATTTCCAGGACCATATATGCCATTACATTGGCTTTCTGTTACAGCTTGCTTGAAATTTCGGCCCGAGTCATTGAAGAGTACAAATTAATACAGTTCATATCTGGATGCGTGATGCTCAAGTTCAGATCACGGAGACGGCAGAGCACCTACAGCCATTCTGTCTTTTCCTTTGGACATAGAGGGAGATAGTACTTGTGTCAGATTTCCAGAAGAGAGATGTAGTTTCCATGTGTGTTCATGGTACTTTGCCAAAAAGAAACCTTCTTATCCAGCTAGATGAAAAGAAAATGGAAAATACCATTGGATGAAATTTGGGCAATAAAAATAGAGAGATGGGCTTCAGCAGCTGGCTCTGCTGTGTGAGAACAAGAACATACCGGAATGGCAGCCTGCCTCTGTCTTTACTGTAACTGGACACAATTAACGTAGTTGCTTCTCGCACTGAACTTGACCACCATTTCACCTATAAGGCCTGTGATTCCTATGGGCATAATGACTGGATAAAGCAGCATTATAATTTTCAGGTATCTCCTCTGTTAGTGCTTGTTCTCTTCTGGGTAGTTCACCTGGAAATGACTTGGCAAGTGTCCTAATTCTTAGTCCGATTGCTTGCTTTTCCCTCTAGGATAATAAATGCATTTGATGCATGCCTGCTGCCTTCTGTTTTGAAGATGATGATGGTCTTTGCTGTTGTGTTTTATGCCGTTCTCTTGTCCCTACCATGTTTCATGGAAAAGAAGCGATGGGGGAGGGAGAGGAGAGCAATGATTTCCTTCCTGAAACCTCCTCTGGGCACTTCAGCTACAGCAAACTGAGCCTATAGCTGTGTTGGCAGCTGCTTAGCTGTTGCTGCTGCCAAAAATGCAAGGGCTCAGCCTGCCACGTCTTTGTTTCAGTAGCATTTCCTTCCTCTCTTCCCAATACAGATGCCAAATACAGCATTTGAGGAAAACATATGATGATCTGCCAAGGTTGCTGCTCCAAAGTATACTTCATGCTCGCACTACCAGTGATACCATCCTTTTGTGGCCATGCCTGCTAGAGTAACTTAGAGGGGAGGTTGTCTTTCTAGCGGCTGTACTCCCTTTTTGAACACCCTGAGCTATAAGTTAGAAACAACCGCTAATGAAGTATGTTCCAATTGCTCTCTTCTCTCCTTTCCCCACTCCCACTTGCTTTTTTCTTGGAAAAAGACTGAAAAGAGGGAGCATGTCGGAAAGCAGTTTTTCATGGTGTACTATCACCAGTTATTTTCTTTTTAATGTTAAAAAGTGCTTAAATGTGTTCAGTATCACAGAGAAGCTTGAAACTTTAAGGAGTGAAAAGACTTTCCACATAGATCATACCTTCCCAGATCGTAAGGTCTTGTTGCTTATTGTGCAGGCCACAAGAATCATGACTGCTGTCCTTTCATGTGAAGAAGTGATAGTGTTTAACCATTTATTTTATGGGCTTCTAGTAAGATGCAAGTTGAACCTCTTAGTTCTGTTCCATGCTGCTGCTGATGATGTAGAAACAACAGGACCCTGTCAGCTTTAGGTAATGCTGCAGGCTGTACCCCATCTGGTACTGGGAAGGGACTGGCTTCTCACACCAATTGCATCAGTGAGACAAGTTACTGTGAGTGTTACCGGTGTGCTTATTGTCTTTGTGGGCTGCTAGAGGCGATAGGGAAGCTATGCCATAATGCTGTTATCCCACTGCTGCTTAGGTTCTGTGAGTAGGAGCCTGTAATTACTACGAGCCTATGAACATAAAAGGAAATTGTCTTTTTTATCACCTGTCAAAACTGTGAATGCATTTACAGCTCTGAATATTAAACTTACAGTTATTGTAACCTTCCATTTTGAAATGTACTGCTGAGTCTCTAGGACTTTCTCAACATCTTCACGTCTCTGGAAGTTGTCCCTGTGTGACAATTTCCATGTGGTGCTGGCCAAACAAACCTCAGCACCTTTAATTGGTTTTCAGCCAGTATTATCTGGCTTCTGCCAACAGCATGGCTGAAATCAACTACGGACAGAAAATGAGCACGTAAGTAGTGCTGGTCTTTGCTGAGACTATACAGCAAGAATTGGATAAAATTCTGGACTGTCTATGGAATTTATGCACAGCCACTCTAGTGTGGCAAGGGAACCAGTCTTCTGTGCCCAGCATGAGAAACCCATCCTATTAGAACATCTGAGTTCGTGTCTTCGTGTCCAGTTTGGAATGTTATAAAAGCCAAGAAATTGGAAACAGTCTCCACTTGTTGTGGGAGGCTATTGTAATGAAGTGTGTAACTGTCTTCCTTGTCTGGATAGAACTGTCCTAAATCAAAGCGTCTCCATTCCCTCCTCTGCGTCTGGATTGCTTCTTGCTGTTGCTTCCTCCCTCCTATGAAGCTGATGGTGATCAGTAACAGCGTGAGTGAGTACCCCTACGCTGCCTGTTCTGTACCCAGCATCCTCAGCCAGGCACGCCCTGGAGGAAGATGAGGCTATTGCCTTTTTCTCTCCATATTGCTCTAGTATCCTTCTGTAGATCTGGAAGTAGCAAAATGTCTTGCTGTAACATAGGTCTTTCGCTCTCAGGTTGGGTGTATAATTGCTTCTGGATCATATATTCCCTGTCCCCTTCAGTGGGAGTAGCTGTATTAATAATCCATTCTGCAATCAATCGAGTCTTTAGTATTCTTTTGGGCTGTTTCTCACCAAATAATGCAGATCCTCTAGCCCGATTAAAAAAACTGCACTCAATGTCCTCTTATGCATCCGTTTTCTCAAAGTAAAATTTGTTGATACATGGGAGCAACGTGCATGATGTTCAGAACACAAAACAGTAAATGGAGAGCAGCAATGGCAGCTCTTGTCTGCAAAAATCTGTGGTGAAACCATGGTAATGTATTGTCATAAATGAAGTTTTATTACAGCCATGTCAGAATACTATCAAAAGAACAAGTGCTACTGTCTGTTTCCATGGAGATCTTTCCTGTTCCCTGGGGAGCGGAGGAATCGCATGGTATTGTGCAGCTATGCCAGCTGCAATTAGGCAAGCACGCTGCTTGAGAAAGATATGTGTGGACACCCAGCAGTGACTGTGGACAGCAGCGGCCAAACACGTGTACGCTGCGCTAACAGAGGCTTTTTAAAACGCCACTGATTTTCATATATTCAAAACTAATGCAGTGCAGTGAGTTGAAGGAGGTTTTATAAGGATGCTTAAGCTCATACAGAGGAAAGTACAGAATCGAGGGCGTGACAGAGGTGCGCAGGGGAAGATGCCAGGGGAAGTATAAAGAGCGTATTAGCTTACCAATGAGGGATGTATGCATAAGAATGATCAGCAAATATTTACCTGCTTATTTCTTAATTTGTGCACATACCTACGTCTTGGTGTTTGAGAGAAGAAGGGTATGTTTTCTTGTTTCCTTATGTTAGATCTTTGCTCGAATGTCCTAAGCAACTTGGCCTAGAAAGCCCAATTCACTACTGGTAGGGTTCTTTGTGTCAACTTGCTAATTCAGTCATTCTTTAAGTTAGTGCCAGGGAACCTTGTTTTTTACTTTTTTTTTTTAAATGATCAATTTTAGTGTTGTTTTGTATCTGTATTCACTTTTTTTAAACATTGAAACTTGTGATGCGCTAATTAAATTTAACACTACCTCTTGCTATAGCAAAGCCTGCAATGTATCTTAGGCATGTATTTGGATGGTTTCTGAACTTTTTCTGTTTAGCTAAAATTTCTACATCTATTACAACAATAGAAGGTGGTGAATTATTCATTGCAGTAAATGCTTTAAATTTGCATTTGTTTGTATCAAGCTATATTTGGATGAAGATGTTGGTGCCCTGAAGCACATGTTTATACTCCTGTTTATCACTCGCTACACTAAAGTATATTCCAAGATGTTGAGCAGCCAATTGCAAGTTTGAGGGGATTTTTAAAAAAATTTTTTAATTTTTGGGGGGGGGGGGTGTGGGTAAAATCCTGCCTAGATTTCTTGGCATCTTCATGGAATAGCAGCAGAAGTACTGGAATGGAATGGTTTTTCAGGCTGGTAAGAGTCATAGCTGATAACAGATTCATTTTACATGTAGTAACTAAGATAGGTCCCTTCAAGCTGTGTGGGAAGTACAGTTGGCTGATGAGCAAAGGAATATTAATTTCCTTTTCTACCTAGGGTGCTGTTAAAGCAATTACAGTTAGCAGAAATGTGCCAGTACGCTGCTCTGGAAATCACAGTGTACTGCTTTTCTTGTCTCACTCCTCCAGAGGACATGGCATGGTTTCCAAAAGGTGGTGTTTCCCTCAGTTTCGACCTCCCAGGCTGGGAAGTGGAATATGTTGCTTTTCTGTGCCCGTCTGCTGAAGACTGAGGTAGTGGATGGTATGTTAGCCAGGACAGTGATTTGAGAGAGCATTCCCTGAAGAAATCATTCTTGAATCAAATGAAAGATTATGCTATCTTGAAAAAGCTGTTCCATTTCCACATTGAGTTGTACACCTCCTTTGAATGAGCTTCAGTATAGATTTGTAGGCAGCATGTGCTCAGTGCGACTGAGGGTTTTCGGTCTTCTCTGTTGCGTTTGTTCCAAGATTCAGGTAACTCCCAGGTGACAGCCTTCTGTTAGAGTTGAGAGGACAACCTTTAAAGCTGAAAACCTTAGGACTACATCATAGTTGTGGGGTGGAGGTGGAGGGAAATATATCACGGCATGGAAATCGAGTGGAGGTCTGAAAGCAGAACTGAACTGGATTGACTGACTCGCCTTATAGCACTGGAGACTGATATGAAAAAAAAAACCCGGAAGGTCTCAGGTTCTGACATATCACTAACTGTGAGCTAGAGGGTGACAAATGTGGTGGTGATGGTGTAACCTGACCCAGTGAATGTTAGCTGTGAGCATCCATATGCTTGCTTGAGCTGGTGACGTTTGGACAGCCGATTGATGTATGATGTTATAGGGTCTTGTTCTGAAACACAGTCAACAGCCTCATCCATTTAAAAAAGATTGTTTCCTTAATGAGTAGCAAGAAATATTATCAGTCTAAATGAACTAATTTCCATTAGATTATTCTGCTTGCTCTCGGGTAGGGTTTTTTTTACTATGATAAAATATCAAGAGTCCAATTTAGCTTTCTGTGCATATAACCGTAAAATTAATTCTTTTAGCAAGACGTTAAGATGTTTTCAATCACCTGTTGAAAAATGCATGTAGGAACGGGGTCATTTCCTATTTGGAGTGATTATTTGTAGGCCTGTTCTGATGCTGTTGAGAACCTGATAATATTGAGGAACCTTGATAAAGGCAGGACTTAGAGAGCATGGATTCCTTTTTGCAGTTTAGACTGTATTTGTCCATAAATACCAATATTTTTGCACGTATCCAACCACTTGACTGATGTTAACTCGCTCATGGAGAGCACTGCTTCCATCTGCTGCTATTCTGTGTGTGGAGTAGCCATTACAGAATCCCAGGCACATCTGGAGAGAACAAGCTCATGTGTACAGTGCGTCATATGTTCGTAATAAATACCATATAAATACACTGTAAATATACAATGTGTTTCATAACTAACTTAGAAGTGAATGCCTACCTGTATAACTGCTGGAAGCTGTTGGGCAGGGCTCATCTTGTTGAATCTTTTGGGGAGGAAGAGTCAGCCTTTTGTAAGGGGCCTACTGTGCAGGGGTCTGTCAGTCAGTCTGACTTGGAGCTGGGCGAGCGCTCTCAGGTAGGACGTTGAGCACTGTGGATGTTGACTGGCAATAGACACTACAATAATTCTGCTGTTCTTTGAATAAGTGATGGAATTGCAGTTCTTGCATTTGAAGGCCGCGTTATTGTCTTAGTAGGAAAAGTTTTACTTCAAAAACTTATGGTTAAGCTGCACACCTTCATTTTGATGTTAAAGCATCATCCTTTTTTGTATAGAACCTGCAAAGCTCAGGCAGTTTGAGACATTGGCTCTCTGTGTCCCCAAACAGTAATTAAATGTAGGCAATCACTTGGAAGATTGGCAAAATGCATGGGACCTTTATTAATACTGATAAATTCAATCCTTTTGCATTTGAAAAGTGATTAGAGAATTCATCTGAAAGTAGGAAGCAGTAATTAGGAGACAGCATTGAAGAATTTCTTCCTCCCTGCAATGCATGCTTCTTTCTTGTACATATGCCTATGCAGTTGTTTCTTGTATATATGTTAAATGAATATGCTGTCTGGCCTGTGGCATGTTTTTAGGGATACTATGGTCAGATCTTGATATAGGTATTTCCTACAAGCTAAACAGGATTTCCTTGCAGATTCCAGTAAACAGGTTTTGAGAAGCTACTGGAATCATGGTTCTTGTAGTTCTGGGTGCAGTTATGAAGCATTTCAAGCCACTTCTGACCAAAGCTATTCTGACGTTGACACAAATACGCTGCTGTCACACTGGGCTAACTGGCATCTACTCCCTAACTCTGCGTTTGTCACTTGTCTGTTGCAGGGATTTACCTCAGTACGGGCAAAAGCAGTGGCAATCCTATTTTGGGCGAACATTTGACGTTTACACCAAACTCTGGAAGTTTCAACAGCAACATCGGTAAGGGAATGTTGTAGGCAGATGTGTTCTGTGGATTTAAGTGCAACTTTAATCTCTGGTATGCCTAGGGGCCTCAGTTAAGATTGAGATTTCACTGTGTTATTCAAGCATGAAGGGAGGGAATAGTCACTTCCTGTAGTGCTCACAGTCTAATGAATTAAAATGTTGCAGCGTTTTCAGTGTGACTTTTTCAACAAAACCTTTTGCTCTACTTGAATGCATGTTGCTTTAAGATATTACCAAGGAGAAGCTGGGATGATGGCTTCTGCAGTGCAGAACCCATCTGGAATGGTGTGAAGCGTCTTGCTGCAGCGTGGGCTCTGATCTTTCACACCTTACATTGGCTGCGTAGTCTGAGTGTTCTCCTGGGAAGTTGTGACCTTTTGTTGTGTGTATTTTGTGCAACATACTTATGTCTAGCTCTTGCAAGTTTATGCAAGATAAATGGTTCTTGTTCTGGTGTGTGTATGCAGTGCTGTTGGCTCTGTGAGGGACTGCTACTGGGAATGCCACACCAGTAATGAAAGCTGAATTTGGCCCTACAGTGGCTCTTTGTCTTGTCTGGTGTGATGTTCTGAGAAATTCTGGAATGCCTTTTAATCTTTCTTTTCTCTCTTGCGAAATAGACAAGTATTGGACAATCGGTATGGGTTGAAGCGGTGGCAAATTGGGGAAATTGCTTCCAAGATTGGGCAGCTCTATTACCATTATTAGTAAGTAAGCACAGAAAAGGATTCAGTAGGGGAATGCAGTGTTAGTGGCAGCTCCATGCCAAACATCTGGATACTCAGTCAGGAGAAATGAATGTATCAGCTGAGTCATGATGCCTGTTTCTGAATGAGAAGGCCCTTGGGACTGCCTAGGGGTGCTGCAGAGAAAGGCACCTGTGAGCCCGATACCATATTGCTAGTGACGTTGATACTGCCTAAGGACTTATCTCCTACCTCTAAAGTGTCTTGAAGTCTTCCATGTGTGCTGCATTCAACTCTTGTGCAGAAGTGTGATTTACAAGTTTGGGAGCTTAATGTTCCTTTAAACTTTTGAATTAACCTGTCACCTGTACATATGGGCACAAGATGGGCAGATTTGATTGTTATCCAAAATGGAATCCAAGCTCTGAAATCTGTCTTTCCATCAGGCACAAAGAATGAGTCTGGCTTTCATACGATGTTACTTGAGGAGGGAGTTTTGCTATTGATGCGCAAGATGGTTGAGGGGGCAGGAAGGGAGGGTTTGGCATGGATTTCAATCTGAAGCGGTGAGCTAATCTGGTTCTTCCTCTGCAGCTTGCGCACTTCAGAAACCAGCTATCTCAATGAAGCTTTCTCCTTCTATTCAGCAATTAGGCAGAGGTCATACTATTCCCAAGTCAACAAAGAAGACAGGTATGTCTGAATGAATGCCCTCATTTTTTCAAGACTAGAACTGCGTATGAAAGCAGCAAATAACTATAAACTGTAGGAGCATAACTGGGATAAAATCAGTGTTGTTGGAGGAAGTTTCTTTTAATCTTCCTGCCATGATTAAAAACCTCAGTATAAACAAGAACTTCACTGTATGAGTGGAGGAATATTCTGTTATCTGGTCCTGGCTAGAAAGCTATTAGCCCCAAAGTTTTGTCCTTTTGAGTCCTGAGCAGTATCAGCGCTGGGAGATAGTATGCTGTGGCATACTGTGGAAGATAAGTCAGCTGGGCTGAAGGAGAGGAACCTGTTTGATTCTAATCAGGCTTTTCAGGGGAACATCAGTTAGTACTGCAGTACAACAGCCCTCTGTAACTGACTGGGACAAGGTCCAAGAACTTCAGGAGGCATAACGTCTTCCTTTGAAGACACTATACTGAGAAGGGTACATTTAAAGCAGGGCTGTGTTGTGGCAGTGCAGAAAATGTGCTGCCTGCCAAGAACATAGACAGATATAAATAAGAATAGGTAGAGAACTTGGTTCTGGATCCTGATCTTACATTCTAGCCAGTAAACCTGGGTTCCCTCATCAAGGTAAAGAAGAAGAGATCTGAAGTCGTCATCAAGCTAAATGCCGAAGGTTAGTTAGGGATCTTCCTGTCAAGAATTCAAAGATCTCTGGATTTAGACTAATTGCATGTCTCTAGTCCTGGCTGATGTCTAAATGCACCTGTGTGCCACAAAAAGATGAAAGTTTCCCTGCTCTGTTCGGATATCTGTTGATCCTATTATTTTCTCTCTTAAAAATCTCTCAATTTCAGTCTGAATGCTTGAACTGTTTCAGAGAAGGTAGGATTGACCAAGCATGTTTCTAGATGCTGTCAGAAGATTTTAGAAATGGATGAGTAGTTATGGGCTATGCTGACTTGCAGATCTCTAAGTTGTCCCAGGTGGGTGAACTCTGAGCCAGCTGTGATTATCATGGGATGCAGTGGGGTCAGATATTGCCCATGAACTGTCAAAAGATTTGAAGAGCCACATATTATATCTGATTCCCATGCCTGTTCTCATGTAAGGAGACTGTGGGGAAAGGGGAGGCTGTTGCTTTCTTGATGTATATTTTATGTCCCCAAACTCAATTTTAAATAAACCTCTAAGCAGCCAGGTAGCTATTGATCTCCACATGAATTCAGTTAGAACTGTTAATCTGCGGAGTGTTCAGCTTTGCTCTAGGCTTAAACTCCTCCTCTCCCTTACCCCTGTTGCCTACCTGTGTTCTATTTTAATCTGAAATTTGGCTGTGGTGTTTTTGTTGTGTTTAGGCCTGAATTAGTGGTTAAGAAACTGCGTTACTATGCAAGGTTTATAGTGGTTTGCCTCTTGCTCAACAAGATGGATGTTGTAAAGGACCTTGTAAAGGTATGTTAAAATGAGGATAAAGGTGCTAAAGGGTGGGAGGTTGCTGGTTATTCAGGGCTTTTCTCCTAAAATTAAGGAATCCATAATACAGTCTGTTTCAGTTGAAATATCACTCATTAGATCTATGATGTTAGCTGCTGCTGCAGCATAGCTTTTCTTTTTTTTTTTTTCCTCATTTAATTTATTACGCTGTTGGATGCCACAGAAGGAAGGAATAACATGGCTAGAGCTATGGAAAGATTCAGTATGATGTGAACATTTGGCTAGAGGAAAAACTTTACAAATTTATATAGTTAGTTAGGAATAAACTGTAAGATGAATGTTATTCATCTGAAAGTGTGGGGATGATCTGATAACTCTGAGTACATCTTCATTCCTGGAGCGGATTTAAGACATTGGTGGAATCTCCCCCAGCAAGTCTTCATGACACACTGTTGCTTGGAAAGCCAGTGTCACCTACCTTGATGTTGAGCTTATTTCTCTTCCTTCCAAACTGCTATCACTCTGTCCCATGTCTAGAACACATCCTGAATACATTTTGCACCTTCCAGAGACCCATCAAAATTAAACCTTGCTCAATGATGTAGATATTACTATGAAATTGGAGAGGCTGGATCTGCATATGCCTCTGCTGTGGGAGTAAAGCATTGAATGCCTATAAACACAATTCTTTAGGTACAACAAATGGAGTACAGGCCAATGTTGATCATTGCTTTTCTAGTATATCTGACATCCAACACAGTGAGTATCTTCTGTGAATCAGGCATTTAATAGTGACACTTTAAGCTCAAATGATTTGATAGCATTGTTTAAACACCAAGTAAAAATATTCCAATAGCTGCAGCCTGGGTAGGGAGGTACCCTTTAACTACAGCAAAGGAACAGCATGCGTCTCCTGACAGCGTATGCTTCCCAAACCCCTCTAACAACCTTGCTGCAAGCAGCTTCTGCTATTGACAGTTTTGTGTAGGTTGCATTACTGTCTTTGTGTCTAAGCTTACTTGAACTGCTAGCTTAGCTTAGTAGCAGCTGAAAAAGCCATACCATTCACTTTCTCAATGTGGTTAAAATTACTTGTAAGCTGAAATTTGAGTCCTTGGTATCCATAGCTTATGGTAAGAACCAGTGACATGGCTCTATGTGAGTGGGATAGTTGTATAACTCCAGATATTCTTTGCATTTGTACCTACTTAAAAGACATTTTGCATTGCCAAAACTCAGTGCAACGCTGGCATTCTGTCTCCTGAAAGAGCGCGTTTTGGCTGGCATGTTAGTCATAAGTGTGCTGCATATGTTCTCAAGTATTTTTTTTTTTTTATTATTATTATTCTTAAAGGCCAGCACAGCTAACCGAACTGTAAAGTTACTGACTGCCTGTTAAGCTCTCAGTTTAAGAAGTGACTATGTCTGTCTTTGAACTTTTTACATCAGGAGCTGTCAGATGAAATTGAAGACTACACTCATCGTTTTAATACTGAAGATCAGGTGGAGTGGAACCTGGTTCTTCAGGAAGTGGCAGCATTTATTGAGGTGAGAATACCATTCCCTTTTAGTTGTTAGTTTAGAAGTGAAATTTTCTGACTTGTTCACCGAAGTGTTCCTGTATCACCACCTCTGTGTGGTAAGCAGGTGTGCCACATGCAGGGACAGTATTCCTGTCCAATTTAATCATTGAAATGTGTTCACAGTAGTGTAACAGTGACAGCCATTAAAGTGTCTGAAGTCAGACCTGGTCATGTAACGTATTGAAGACAGAAGCATGAAGCTGAGATACACTTGGTCACCTTACTGGCTTTGCTCTGGGTGTTCAGAAAATGGTGGAATTGAAAGCACAGCAGTTATCATGGTCAATATTGGAGAGACTGCCAACTCTAGTTCTGTTGTTGTGGAAGCCAATCCAGTTTGCTGATGTTTTGATTGTGTTTCAAAGTGTACTTTGTTGAAGTACTGGTCTATTAACACTGGTGATGTATAAGCAGTATATAATGGAAAATTCGGTGTAATCATGGCAGTTAACTGATAGGCCTTTAGCATAGTTGTAGTGTGATCAACTTCTAAAGTTTGTTAAAAGGAAAATAAATTTGTGTATTCTGTCAAATGAGACAGTGTTCTACTTTCCTCCTTTTGCACAAGATGTCACTAGGTAACATAAGTATTTATTTAAATACTGCCAGAGTGGATGGCAGCATTATCATTCACTCATCTCCTTTCCTATTTATTTCTAGGAAGGGAAGGTGAACTAAAATAGTGCAGGATTCTTCTATATTGTAGGAATGCTTAGTTTATTCTGCGTGAATTTGTAAGGTTGTTGATGACATTTGGTTCGTCAGGTATAGGAAAGCTGAAGCAGTGTTCATGTCATTTGAGGAAGTATGTTTTTCTTTTTGCTGTAGCTTCACGTACATGTGCTGAGTATTTGCTTGCAGTCCCCAAGAGCTGTTGCTTTTCCAGGTGGTGAGGCATTACTCTGTAGTCTGCATACAAATATATGTATGGCAAATTAATTTGAAAAATCTGCCTCAGTTATTAAATGTTTACTGTAAGTGACAAGACCTTTGGACTTCTGACTAAAAATCTGTATGTTTTCTTGAATTCCTGATTTATTCTGGTTGCTTTTTTTAGGCAGACCCTGTCATGGTTTTAAATGATGACAACACCATTGTAATCACCTCTAACAGGCTTTCTGAAACAGGAGCTCCGTTGCTAGAGCAGGGAATGATAGTGGGACAGCTTGCTCTTGCAGATGCGCTGATTATTGGGAACTGCAACAACCAGGTAAAAGAAATTCTGGGGACTTGGGTTTGTATCTTTGGAGTTCAAAGTTCTTCCCCCTTTGACATCCCTTCTGATCATACAACAGATATTCCAATAGAGGCAGACATTAAAACATTTTGATTGTGATGTTTGCAGTGGCAGCAAGAAGAGGAGGTAAAAATGAAATGTTAGATATTAGACCTGTGGTACTGACCTCTTATTGCTTATATTCATCATGTCAATTAAGTAGATACAATTGATTTTCATATACTGGAGTGTTCTTAACAACATTCAAGCATGAGTGGCCTCTGGGGTATGTCTAGAAAAAGCTTGACTTAGGCTTTCACATGACTTGCTCCAGCTTGTTGCAACTGAAGTTGCAACAGGAAGGGGTTTTCAAAAGACATTCAAGATCTTGTTTTTTAGATGATGATGATAGTGAAGTTTTACAGACTTCATGACTTCTCTGAGCTCTTTTTTTCAGGTAAGCAAGGGAGTTGTATCTAAACTACAGCTTGTGTTCTTTTTCAGATTTTGTCTAAATTCATAGTACATAGTGGTTTTGGCACTTTATTTGTAAACACCCCAGAAAAGTCTGTAATTTGTAAAGTAGGGGTCTGCACTACAGTGAACTGGCCTGGTAGGCCAGTAATAAATAGAATAGTAATAAAAGGTAATAAATGTCCTCTGTGAGCTCTTCTAAATGTCATTCACGGGTCCTTAGAGATTCAGAGGTGACACTGACAGATCCCTGAGAGACAGGGAATGGTCTATCTGGTATGCAGTTGAATCTCTTACCTGGATAATTCCAATGTGTTTAATCTGTACCTGGCAGAGTAAACTGTTTGACTCTTTTGCAGGTCAAGTTCAGTGAATTAACAATTGATATGTTCCGAATGCTGCAAGCACTTGAAAGGGAACCAATGAATTTAGCTTCACAAATGAACAAACCTGGAATGCAGGTAAGTTCCGTCTCAGTGACAAACCTGGCAACAGATCTTGACTGGGTTTTGTTTGGTTTGTTTTAAATGGTGTACTCTTTCAGTATCGTCACTGTGCAGAGCAGGTTAGTAAAGCTGGTGTAACTCTTACTAGAAGTTAGTGAAGAGTAGTTCGATCGAAGTAATGTCTTGGGGTTTTTTCTCCTTGTTTTTTCTCCTTGTTTTTTCTCCTTGTTTTTTCTCCTTGTTTTTTCTCCTTGTTTTTTCTCCTTGTTTTTTCTCCTTGTTTTTTCTCCTTAGCAAAGCTTCCACAGGGAAAAAAATAGCAGAAAGGACTATTTGGGCATCGCTTCACAAATGGTTTATGTTGGACTAGCCGCGGCCCTTCTGAAGGGGTGCCGTGCCTGTCCTTGCCCATAGACACTCGCCCCTTCCCTTGTGTTCACTCTAGCGGTATTGCAGCCAGACAGGGCTGGAGGCAAAAGGAAATATCTAGGTTTTTCATTTATTTAGTGGAGATGAGGAGTGAATTTTTTCACTCTTGGGTGATGCTTTAGAGAGTTAGAAAGATTTAGGTAACAAATTTAAGTGAGGGATAAGGTTCTGGTTCAAATACTGTGCATCCTGCTTTACTGTGTAGTAGGAAATGCAGCATGGGCAGACCATTTGTGTGGGAAGTATGTTGAAGATCAAAATTCAAATAAATAGAAATTTAGAGGGATATGAAACTGCTTTGGTAATACACAGTTGTTGGTTTTTTTGTGTTTTGTTTTTGTTGGGTTTTTTGTTTGTTTGTTTTTTTTAACAGGAGTCAACGGAGAAACCAGCCAGGCGGGAAAACCCCCATAAATACCTGCTTTATAAACCAACTTTTAGCCAGCTATATACATTTTTAGCAGCATCATTCAAGGTTTGTGAAATTAGCGAATTTATTTGTAGTAGAAAAATATGTAGAATGGTATGTGACACAAAAATGTGATTGAGATAATCTTTTATACTTCAAGATAATGAAGCCTTTTTGGCCTTCTTAAAATGTTCAATATGGTCTTCAGAGAGGATGGAAATATTATAGGTATATGTAACTTGTATAGTAAAGGCAAATCTGTTGACTGCTCTTAAGGGAAAGAAAAAAATTCATTTTAAGACAGAAACCCAGCTTGCTGTTACACAGAAGTTGTTATATCATTGCTAAAATACAGCCATCTTCAAAGCAAAGCTTGAACAACTCCTGTGCAAGAGGTCTTTGTACTAGCTGCCCAGTATCAGGAGTGGTGCACGGCAATACTATGGAAAGCCTTAAGTACTGTGATGTAATGTAATAGTTGCATATAATCTTATCCAGTAATTTTATTTGTGTGCCTGTATGCACGCATATATATACAGACATATATGTAAAAATAAGTGTTTCCTCTATAAAGTATATCTATTTCCTATATATATAT